TTGGTTATATATTATACATGTTTACTTATTTCCAGTTTTGTATACCTATTAAACTTTATGCAAGTTATTTGTTATTTTATATTAGGCATAGCCTGCCCTATAGCATGGTGTATTTTTATTTGTTTTGTTAATAAAAGTTTTATATATAGGCTAAAGTGAGTTTGACGTTGTTGCATTCAAGCAATTGACCTGCCGCTAATTCAAAAGTGAAAGTAAAATGAGCACGGTGCTTATAAGCTATTTAAAAGCGAAGGAAAAGAGGGAACGCCCCGCCCCCACGGTGATACCGGTATTACCGGTGTTGTCACATGTCGATTATCCGGTGGGAGAATTTCCTCACCGTCACAACCCTAGAATGTTTCTGTGCTGTAACTCTGAGTACTCAGTCAGTAGCAGTCATGTATCATTTGCTGTGGACAGCACAGGTCTGAAAACATGCTATACACTCGTCTCAGGCCTCCGTCTGACACCAGAGAGAATCTCTGTAGTATACTGGATCCCAGCGGAAGCTCACAGATTTGCTTTTAGAGTATGCTTATGCTAAAATCCATGTCAGCATTTAGATTTATAAAGCGGTCGTTGATTTAAGAAAAGTGTTTAGTGCTACATCAGGGTCGAAGCAGGTGGACACAATTTCTCTTATGGCAGAGAGTCGAAGGACTGCAGGTATTTGGAAGTCTTAAGCGATTCTTGCTCCTTAGCATTCTCAAGTGAAGGATTTGGATGTTGACTGGTGCTCCGTTATATGCTGAACACATTAATTGGGAGTGCTTGCAAGCGGAGATCTGAAACCATTTAGCTGTGCACAAAAATCATTTCAAAATCATTTGTGATTTATAGATTTCACATGCGGAAAAGAGGCATTTGCGGTTTTTTCTTAGTGCTGTCAAACGATTAATCGCATCCAAAATAAAAGTTTTTGTTCACATAATGTGTATATATATATATATATACACACACACACACACACATTATAAATAGTAGGCTACACTCACATAGGTTATGTAAACAAACTTTTATTTTGGATGCGATTAATAGCGATTTGACAGCACTATTTTTCTTTGTTAGTTTCTCTAAATCACACTTGAAAAATGTTCTTGGATCAAACGTATGGTTGTTTGTACACAATATTTTAGGTGATGTCTCGGTACACCCCCTGTCCACTCGTTAGCACTGAAACAAAAGCGCAGTTGAACCGTTCTGCTGAATGAATCTGTGTTTTTGAGTGAATTGGTGGTTGAGTGAATGATTCAATGACTAACTCATTAAGAAATCTTCTGGTGGTTTCAGTATTTTTTGAAACATTACTCTTAGCATTATGTAGTTGTAATTGCACTAAGCAGCAATAATGCACCTAAAAACACTTCAAAAGCAGTTTTTGCACCGCCTCGGTCTGTAATACAAAGATGGGCATTGTTGATACTGATTTGATTAGTAGCAGCCTATAGTGTCTTAGTATTTTAAATAAATTTGATTAAATATAACAATGAGTACGTATACATGGACAACAATCTTAAAATTTTAACACGATTAAGATGATACTCTGATTAAGAATCTACCATGTAAACAGAGATTTTTAATTACCTTAATCCAACTAACGTCATACTTGAAGTAAAAACAAATCGAATTAACACATGTGGAGTATTCTTATTTTAGTCGCATTATTGAAGTACAGGACAGACATGTGCACACCTTAATCACACTATTACCGTCGTGTAAACACGGCAGTGGTCAACCGTTTCACGGCAAACAGATAAGCATGGCTTCAACAGCTCTGTCGTCTGTTTGCACAGCATGACAAATAATTAACTGCACTTGAAGCTTTCAGTAAATTAAAAGCGAAACACCCAAAACTGTGTATGGCATCATAACGAAGATGAACTATGTTTATACGTGACATTCTGGAGGGGACGTCGGATGGCGGGGATGTAATGGCGTGCCATTGATCGAGCTATGTACTATAACACGTAAAACGGGAACATGAAAGTAATATTCTAAAAGCCACTCATGTAAATACCTTAATCATAATATTGTCTTATTCAGAATAAGGTAAATAATTCGATTACTGATGTCCATGTAAACATAGTCAATTTCACTTAAAACATGATGCATACCTAAAATAAGGTTAGACTTGCACAATTAATGGATAAATTAATTTGTTACTGATGTAAATATGACATTGAAAATATGTGCCATTAAAAAAAAACTCTTACTGGTCAACCTCTATTTATTAAAAATTCTATTTGCTGACGAAAGTGGCCTGGAAAACAAATGTCTAGCAGAAGCAAGGTTTCTGTGTTGTTGTGAATGTGAGGTCATGTGACACAAAACCATCAGAAGTGTTTGTGATTGATCGAAGCGACACCTTGTAGATTTTTGAAAGGACTCTGAGAGACAGCCGAGTGAGTGGTCATGGGGGGCTTTATCAGTCAGTGTGCGTCTTTTGTTTGAGTCTCACGTCTAGATCAATAACTTAGCTGCGTGTTGTTATTTCTAGAATGTGTGTAGAGCTGATTAGGCTTGCCGCGATTGACGGTGATACCGGTTTTGTCACACGTTGATTAACCGGTGGGAAAATTTCCTCACCGTCACAACCCTAGAGCTGATCAGGTTGTATGTTTTTGGACTGCAGACCCCGAGGCGGCGGCGGCGGCGGTGGCCCAGGCGGACCCCGAAAGCAGAAGGAGCTTCCCACAGAGCCGCCCTACACGGCGTACGTCGGCAACCTGCCCTTCAACACAGTGCAAGGAGACATAGATGCCATCTTCAAAGACCTCAGCATCAGGAGCGTTCGACTAGTGCGAGACAAAGAGACCGACAAGTTCAAAGGTGGGTTGATCTCCGCGTGATTACGGAGGAATATTGTTTGCTTGTTATTCATACTGGGTTTTCGCCTAACTTTGTGCTGTGGACATGAATCAAACCTCAAAATGTGTGGCTAGTTTATCTTTCTGTTGCTCAACGGGTAGAACGTGGCTCCAGCAATACCAAGGTCATGGGTTTGAAACCACATGCTGTTAGATGGAACTTGAATTAGTGCCCTGAAAATCAATGTGAATCAACGCATCTACTAAATGATCAAATTGTTTGTTTTTTGTTTGTTTTCGTTCTCCAGGTTTCTGTTATGTAGAGTTTGACGACTTGGAAGCTCTAAAAGAGGCTTTGACATATGATGGCGCTGTAAGTCACCTAATTACACTTTATTTTAGTATTTTTGTTTTGTTTTAATGGATGGGGTTATGTGCTGTCATTTTGATTAGGAATAGACCCACTTTTTTGTTTATATAGCTGGTAAAAGGGAAAAAATCATAAAGCAGAATACATGTACGATAGATAATGGGGCTGCACGATATATCGCTTCAGCATTGATATCGCGATGTGCGCATCCGTGATAGCCACATCGCAGGAAGTGCGACGTTTAGTATACTGATTATTATTTATACTGATCGTTTTCTTTGCTCACACACAGACACCGTGTCTACACGGGAACATCTACAGTGCGTCTACACTGGACGCGAGCCAAAGCGACAGTTACAAATCATTTCAACTTTGTGTCAGTATGCCATAAACGAGGCATCAGTTGACTGTTGGGGATTTGTCGTGTTGCGTCGCATCCAGTGTGTAGTCAGACAGCATCATTAGAGGTCGACCGATTAATCGGACGATTTTTGGCATTTTTTAATTAATCGGCATCGGCCGATTGTGCTGCAAATTAGGCCGATTTATAGGCAAGCGCATCTGCGGGCAGCTAAGCATTGTTGCGGAACGCCGGAGAATCTCTCTGGCTGCGTGAGAGATGGACCAACTCACACTCTGCAGCCGCTTCTTGTTCACACACAGCTTCAGCTAATGATGGCAGGGCAAAACAGACCGTTTCGAAAGCGTAATTACGTTTTACCCTACTAGAATTGATGCTGGAAAGTTATCCTATTCATAAGTGCAAGTCATTTGCATGTGAAAGTAGAAACGCATGCAATTCAGACGAAACTTCTGGGCTGATTATAACGCGAGAAGGTGCTTAAGTTTTGAGCCATGTATTATTACAATGAATTAGACTACTACTATTACTATCTTGTACCCTGCAATAATCATTTACTCAAACTCACTTTTATGAGATGAAGGAAAAAAAAGAAAATCGGGCAAAATATCGGCCAAAAAAATCGGCATCATATATTGGCCATCGGCTGCCCTGATTTCTAAATATCGGCATCGGCCAGTGAAAAACCCATATCGGTCGACCTCTAAGCATCATATAATGGGTTCTATAGTATTTTGTCGTGTCCGGTGTAGACACGGTGAGAGCCACGCATATGCACGTGAACACCGAATTCAGTTCACAACTGTGTCAATGCATGTCTCCAAGTATTCTTGTAAATGCAGTTGCTTATGGTTTAGGTGAAGGCAAACAATTTAGAAAGAAAATGGATGTGTAACAGTATATTGGTTCACAGCAGTTGAATGTTCCCAAGGCTTTCTGTGCCATGAATGTTAATCAAACAACAAAAAACCAAGAGAAAGATCACTTTTGTAGCTTTAACACCGATTTGTTAGATTTAATTTATACAGTGAAGACTATGCAGTGTTATTTTACATTTGATTATTCAATTTCTGTACCTGAATACTGTTAGACTTACCTGAAAAATATAAAGCACCGTTTATTTCACTTGTATCTATTTCTATAATGTATATCTGTGCTTGTAATTTGTTTATTTTCTATGCTGATTTACTCGCCTACAAAATCACCCCAATCATTGATTATTTTTATTCCAAATAGAGCAATTCAAGAGATCTGGTGATTGTTTTTTTTGTTTTTTTTTATCGCAGAAAAACAAAATATCGCAATGTGAGGTTTTTTTTTTGTTTTTTTCCAATATCGTGCAGCCCTAATAAATAAGCTTGACAGCTGTTTAAAACTTGCACATTAGATCAAAAGTTTGGGGTCCTTAAGATTTTTTTAAAAGAAATTATTAATACTTTATGCAGCAAGGATGCATTAAATTGATTAGAAGTGACAGTAAAGATTAAATTGTTGCCAATATTTCCAGAACTTTCTATTCATCAAAGAATCAAAACAACAGTTCCACAAAAATAATGACATTAATGATGTTTCTTGAGAACCAAGTCCGCACATTGGATGTTTTCTGAAGGATCACATTTTTAAACATTACAATAGAGAGGCTATTTTAAATTATATTTCCCACTAGTATTGTTTTTACTGTATTTTGAATTAAATCAAATGTAGCCTAGGTGAGCATAAGGGGCTGTGTTCAAAAAATCTTACCAACCACAAACTTTTGAATGCTAGTGTACTGTTAGGTATGTTGTGTGTTAAGTATAAAGTTCTTCCGCAGCTGCTAGGGGACCGATCTTTGAGGGTGGATATCGCAGAGGGCCGAAGGCAAGAACGTGGCGCCGGAGGCTTCGGCTTCCGGAAAGACGACAGAGGTACTGTGTGTGCGCCAATATTTCAAAATATTACTGTCGTGCATTAGCGCAATCTTTTTATCTTGTACTTCTATTAGTGCCGTTTTCTCTTTCTTACTGTTGATGTATTGCTTGTGTGTTTCCTTTCAAATAGTGTGGTCTTTACATTCTCCGAGATGAGCAATGCTAGGGATGGACGGTCCTGTTGTATTTAAATTATAATTGTCAACCAAGTAGAGATTCTGTTACACTGTGTGTATCAGGTTTTCTAGAGAAAAATCTTTAATTATTAAAAAAAAAAAAAAAAAATGAGTAAAACAAGATATATGGTCATGTAGATATCATTTAAAGTTTTTGGCATGAGGTTTTTTAACATTACTGGAAGTATTTACTTGCATTTTATAGATGGCAAATTAAGAATGTATTCAGTTACAGGCTCAGTTACACAACTCGAGTTTTATTTTATTTTTTTATTCAATAAAAAGGCAAATTTGATCTTCAGGTGAAAAAGACAGACTTTTCTCTGATGCTAATCATTTAGTCCACTTTAACCTGCCCCGGCCACAGTTGACTGCTATTAGACATTATTATCTTTTATTTTAGAGAAAATGCGATGATGTAATACATTTGTAAAACATTTAATTTACTGAATTACCCCAAAAATTGCTATACCATATGCTTAATACAAACCGTTTTTGTTGAAATTCTTTGTGATGTGCCATAACCAGGGTTTTGGTCGTACTGCCAACACTTAAGCAATGCTTGATATTAGCTTGAGCTCACTTTGTGTCTTCTGTCTCTTATTCTGAACTGTCTCGGGTTGGTTATATTGCATATAGCTACACATATTTAATTCACTGCTCGTACAAGCATTTCTTAAAGGGATAGTTCACCCAAAAAAATGTTAAATTCTGCAATTTACTCACACACAAGTTGTTCCAAGTATGCGAGTAATCAAAACGGTTTCTGGTCTCCATTGCGTCCTTCAAAAAAAAAAAAAGTTATGTTCAGCAGAAGAAAGAAACTCGTACAGGTTTGGAGCAACTCGAGGGTGAGTATATGATGATGCAAATGTCTTTTTTGGGTGAACTATCCCTTTAAGCCGCCGGGCTTCTCACAGTCATTGTTCATGTACATGATTCATCTTTAGATATTTTTTTCATCCCTCAATAGAAAACCCTTTCTAGCTCCTCTAACAAACAGAGTGCTTTCCTATAGGCTAAACCTCCCTGTCCAGCTGGTGTCTTCCTGTTAGCGCTGTTGGCAGATGATCTGATTGGTTCAGTTGCACTGTTCTGTGGGTGGGCCTCTCTTTCACCCTGAACTCAGCTTTGAATTGTTGCCCCTATTAAACAGCCCCCTGTCCCTTTCAGGCCGTGGTGGCTCCCGTGGGGCCAGAGGAGGGGGACATGAATCCAGAGATGACTACGACCAGTCTGGAGGAGGTGTGGCGTGTGAACTGGGCAAGAACTCTAACCCTTGTGGAGTTAGCACTAGATAATCGGCTCTAGATAGTCATTTTAGCAAGAATCTGATATAGCACACACCTGTGGTATGATATGGCCACAGACAGTTCAGATGTGTTCCTCATTTTGTAAAAATTATCAGAAGACATGTTTAACAATACATTTACTGGATGAATGCCTAGTAAGCAATAGGACATGAAGAAAATGAAAGTTTTTTTTTTTAGGACAAGATTTTCATTATTGAATGCTTTTTTTTTTTTTTGAGGGGGGTGTTACAAAAAAAAATATATTTTTAATAATTATTATTATTAGTGTTGTTAATAATAACACATAATATTTTTATATAAATTATGAATTTATTTTAATTTAAAATTATTACATTTTTGTAAAATAATTTATTATTATTATTGTGATCTTTTCATTGCAAGTATGCACTGTAAAGTTATAATGGAGTAATGGAAATCATTGTCATCACAATATTAATTTATAATAATAATGTTAATAATAAAAAATGTGCATACATTCAAAACGACACAGTCCCATGATGTGTACATAACATATTAAATAGAATATTTTTCATATAAGCAAATTATTTGTCAAACGTATCAGTGAAAAAAATCATAATGGACTGTAATAGGCTTTTTTTCAATATGCAAATTAAGCTGCTTATTTTTATTTGATTTTGGGGTCAAATAATTGATGCTACTTGGCTGTTTTTGTGACATTCACCCTATTATGGTAAATGTTTTTCTCACCCACTTTTACAAACTGAGGAAGAAGTCAAAATAGTGTTTGAAACCTGTTGAAAACAACCCAGAATATTCCATTAAACGAGTCACAGGACTTTTTCATAAACAAATTTTTGAACGTCGATCTCTCAGGGACTCCATCTCATTGCCATCAGTCATGTTGTCAGTGGAGTCTCCCTGCTGGTCTGCAGTCAGATTTCCTCCCAGATTGAAGTTGCCAATAGATACTGATCTGGGATCAGACTTCATATTTCTTAAAGGGGTCATATGATGTTGCTAAAAATAACATTATTTTGTGTATTTGGTGTAATGAAATGTGTTTATGCGGTTTAAGGTTAAAAAAAACACATTATTTTCCACATACTGTACATTATTGTTTCTCCTCTATGCTCCGCCTTTCTGAAATGCGTCGATTTTTACAAAGCTCATCGTTCTGAAAAGCGAGGTGTGCTCTGATTGGCCAGCTATCCAGTGCGTTGTGATTGTCCGAATACCTCAAGCGTGAGACGGAAATGTTACGCCCCTCACCATACTGTGATGATGCCCTGTCAGGCCGGAGCGATGATTCAAAAACATTAAAACCCATCTCAAGCGCGGGCTTGAGAATGGCGCGGCCAGCGATTTCGACGGAGCGTCCGGAAGGATATGTGACGACCCCAGGCTGGACTCCGCTTGACTCGACTACGGTGAAAGCCGATCCGGCGATCCACAGCGTGAAGTTGTAGTATTTCCTCAGCAACCAGCACTGATCAGCTCTAGGCATGAAGAAGCAGATATCGTCCTCTTTTGGAAGAACAAAGTAGTTTCGCTTTTACAACAAAACACACAGCGTCTTCACGCCATGGCGGTGGAAACAACAAAACTACAGCGAGAATAAAAGTTACGCCGCCTGCCTTTGCGTGAACATTTGGGCGGCGTTATGCAAATCTTCCCACATAGTGATGTAGACGTGGGGGCGTTTTTAGGTAGGTGTGGCTGACTCTTTTATAAAGAATATCTCTTTGGATTTGAGACTTTAGTCTTTGCAACTTTACAGATCTTCTTTATGCACCAAGAGCTTGTAACACTCCAAAGAGAAAGGAAAACTTGAAATAGCATCATATGACCCCTTTAAACACTGATGTTTTGCCTAGAGCCAATCCTGGATCAGTATTTTGGTGCAACTTTGCAGTGGAGTGGGAGAATGACGGACGAGTTACTCACACGCTTCCTCTCTTCACAGGATTTAGAGATGAGGACTTTGTGGGTGGGAGGAGTCGAGGAGGCGGTCGCCCTGGCGACAGAAGGGGGGGCGGAGGAGGCATGGGACGCTTCAGAGATGGACCTCCTCGCGGAGGCCAGGCAGACTTCAGAGAACCCTCTGACGGTGTCACATTTATTTATTCATTCTGAAAAAACTTCCCTCTATATATCTGCTTTAAAGTCAACGTGAAATCATAATGGGCCGTATTTGCTCTCAGTGCATGCTCCTGCTCAAACCTCTACAGTGCAAGCAAATCATTTACATAAGTGAAAACGTTTCAATATAAGTGACTAAATGTCTAATGTTAGCCAATGTTTACTAAACTGGTAGATTTCACTTGCTAGTGTTTGATTTACGTATGATGCAAATTTCAACATTAGATTAGTACGCACCATCGATTTTTGTAACGGCACGTGCTTTGTACTTGCAGGTCGCAATGTGCATTGAATATGTTTTGCACGAATCAGTTGTTCCACAAGGTGGCAGCTCTGGCCCGGGCCGATGTTTTACAGTAGAAAACCAAACTAAAGAGACTGAACAACAACAGATGGCTGTGCTGATGAGTGTCTGTGAGAGGGTTATGAGAGCTGCAACTTTAGATTAAAAATATATATTTTTTGTTTATAACGTCTAAAAAAAAGTAGGACAGATGCTGGACAAAGATCAAGATATCTAGAGGTCATGTGTCAATGGCCTGTACTACATGTTTGTTTGTCACCTGCACTTAAACACTCTGATTGGGCACAAGTTTCACTCGGTTGTTACGGAGTCTTACATAACTTTCAAAATGAGTTCATTCTTGATATAGTCTTTAAGAGCAAGCAGAAGCCACTGTCGGTAGTGGGCAGAACTAATGTGCAAACTTCGATCTCATTGGCTAATGCTCACCTTTTTCAATCCATGTTTTGATTTCAGCAAATCAATTAGAGCGAACTCAGATAATGTAGTTTGTTTTATTTTTTTAAGTTGTGCTTTTAAATCATGTCACATGTGAATGTATCTTTGTAAAAAGCTGCCATATATACAAAACATTTATTAGCCAATTGCAATTCTGTTGCCAAGGTGTGCGTAGAGGGTTGGTTTTGTGGATGTGGACAATTCGTTATTTCAGAGGGGAAAAAATCTTTGAAATGTTTTAGCAAAATGCTCTGACTTTCAGCTGTACACCAAGGCAAACCAATTTGTTAATATCAACAATTTGGCTTATGGTAACTAGGTCAGTATCATATCAGTTATCTGTTAGTGTAATTATTAACCGGAACTTTAATATGGCTGCATCCGTAATGTTAACCTGTAGCCAAATTACGTTGTGTACAGTTTTGGGTATAATGCAACTGAAATGTTTTATTATTTGAATTGATATATTATAATTTCATGCCAAATAATCAATGCAAAGAAATGGATTCAGTCAGAGGCTCAAATAAATATGGCCTGATTCCTGAGACAAAATTTCCATCCTTATTCATTATTCATTCTCTCACTCAGATTTGTCACCATTGTTATTGAAGGGTGCACTCACACACATAATAATAATAATAATAAATATTTATTATTATTATTATTATTGGATCTATTCAATTCCCAATTGATTTGCCCAACTTTTTGATATTTTGACTAAAATTTCAGAAGTAAAATGGGTTGCACATACCATTTCGCGTTGACTTTAAATGATGTTTTTGACACTTGCATAAATTATACCAATCACACCTAATGTCTCTTTCTCATTTTCCACAGAGGAAAGAGCGCAGAGACCAAAGCTACAGCTGAAGCCGCGTACAGTGGCAGCTCCCCTTAACCAAGTGGCCAACCCCAACTCTGCCATCTTTGGGGGTGCCAAACCCAGGGAGGAGGTAATTCCCAAAGACAAACACTAAGAGACTGCAGCCTCCCTCGGCGCTCCAGAAGGAAGGGAGGGAGGGAGGAGGAGAGAAAGAATGGGAGGGATATACGGGGAGGGAAGGGCGAGATCCGGGGACGACAAACGACGACGGAAAAACGTATCATGCCAACGGGAATGCGATAAGACCTCTGTCGTCATTCCTACCTGTTAGAGATGAAAGGAGTCCCTACGAATTCAGATCGCGCGCGACTAAATTTATTCAACGGGGGGGGTAAAAACACAAGACCACGCCCACTTCGATCGATCGTCATGACACCTGCACACACCAACGAGCAGCTCGTGAATGCATGGCAGAACTGTTTAACAATGGTTTTATGTCCACCTTTGCTTCCCTGTAATTAGTGCCTGCTCTGTACTGTAGTTTTCGTCAGGGGAAAGTTCTTTCACATCCTTGGTGAGATCCGAAAGGTGTTTTTGTTTTCGAGCTGCTCTCTTAAATGGAATGGAACTGATTTTAAATGTTTTCTGGCTCGTTTTATAGCCGTAGACTAAACCACACACGTCAAGCCCTTTGATCGTGCGAAAAATGACGACGCTGATTTGGTTTGTGCGCTTTTCTCGCGGGGGAGCTAGCTAACGTTTCCACAGTTGACATTCGTAACGGCGTTCGCGAAAAGCAGTATTAGGTTTATGGGATTGAACGACCGCTGTTTTGCATTTTGTTCTTGGGATTTTTGACGGAATGCACCTATGAAGGTTTTTCTCTTTGGCGTGCTTTTCTCGCGATTTCACGTACGCAGACCTTCGAACGCACACTGGATTGTAAATTGAGGTTTACACGCAGTCAGCGTTCGGTTTCGGAGCCGTGCGTCTTAGTAGATCTACACGGCGCATGTTGAATTGATTCTAATATTGCAGAATGTCATGTGCAAAATTCACCGTCTCCTACAATGGACCCTGTGTAACCATCTTGTTCTTGTTTTATGTTTCCGTTCTCTAAAGAATTAGTATCTGTGTCAGTGTGGCTGCATTATTCCGGAAGGCTTTTCTGGATTCTACTGGCTTTGATCACCATAAAATCTTTCAAAGACTTCAGTGACACGCAGGCAGGGGCACGAGGTGCTGGTCTCCTCTCGAATCCAAACGAGCCCTCATCCGATTGGCTTAAAAAAGGACGTGGAGGTGGGGGCTCTAGAAAGGGGCGGGGCTCAGTCTTAACTCCGCCTCTGCCTGTCCACGCTGGCTCCTCCCACACGCCTCAAAGAACCCAAACTTGGAGGACAAGCATCTCCAGGTTGATTGCGTTTAAGGACTTCGACATCTCTTTCCCTTCCCAAAGTACCTTTTGTGTTTTTGAATTTGTAGACACGCGGACGTAATTGCCGCCGTGTCCTTTTTATATTTTGCTCTTTACATTTCTTTGCTGTATTTGAGGATTAAAAGGTTGAGCTTGATTCTTAATTAAACCATTTCAAAGTGAAGAGCTTTTTGAGTTCTTGTTGCCTCGTCTTTACGAAAGATTTTCCCAACCTGACCAAATCCTGGCTCATCCAGAGCTTTCGGGAACAATGTGCCACGTGTTTCATTCATTTAGAAGAGTATGCATGATAGGTTTGGTTGGTGACGCAAGGGTCTACAGCGACATCCACAGCTTGACGGCAATGTATTTCTTTCCAGACCAGAAAATCTAGTAGAAGCTAAGAACCATAACACCATCAGTACTGCCTTTCCATATGAAGCTAATTGAACAAAAATGAACTGCTCGCACATTTCCAGACGCCAGGCGCTGCTGTAGTTTCATCGAGTGTAGAGTCCTCATGGGAAATCCATGTTCAACATTTTTTTTTTTGTTACTGTATAATAGAGGTCGGCTGTTTTTATTCTTTTGTTTTCTTTTCATTTTCCTACACTGTTAATGGCAATAAATTGTATCATCTTACAGTGTTTGAAATGAATGTGTTGACATGGGATAACGGGATGAATATATTCTGTGTCCTGTGAAGCTAAATGGTGTTCGAGTCATTTGAAGGCCAAAAAAAAAAAGTTATTTTACCTAAATTCAACCTGGCAGTTGGTTTATCGCAGGAATTGTGTCGTAAGCTTCGAGAACAAGGTAACAGAACTTGTGTCTTTGTTGGGTTAACAATGGTCTATACACTGAGTCAAACACAAAGTCTTTATTCTCAACATAGGAGACACGTGATGAGTGATTGTTTTGCATATGTAAAGAATAAAAGATTTGAAGAGGAGTCCCTGGGTTTGGGGTGTCAAATGATCTAAATACAAGGCAGTTTTGGGGGTCATTCACCAAAAAAAACTAACTTTGTGAACCACATTCGAGACTCTTCCTTCTGTTGAACACACACAGGGAGATATTTCGAAGAATGTTGATAACGTCGCCATTGACTTCCATATTTTGATCTGTTTTATTGCAGTGGCTACTTTAAATTATTAGGTTACCGTATTATTTTGTGCTGAACAGAAGAAAGAGACTCTAACATGTTGCAAATAACAGTTTTCATTTTGGGGTGAACTGACCTTTTAATGTCTTGCGTTTCATCCTTAAAAAAAAAAAATCAGGTTTGACGGGCATAAAAACGAGATTGTGTTCGATGTGTACCGTATTTTAACAACATGCCGATAGTTCAGCTGACAAATTGCACTAGACAAAAACTCCACAAAATAGATTGAACGTTGAGTTTTGAACATTACGTGATCCCGTACTTTTACTTTGTGTAAGTCTATTCATCACAGCCTTGTAAAATTAACATGCTGTGCCTACAGGTGCATCTCAATAAATTAGAATGTCGTGGAAAAGTTCATTTATTTCAGTAATTCAACTCAAATTGTGAAACTCGTGTATTAAATAAATTCAGTGCACACAGACTGAAGCCCCTACCAAGTATTGAATACATGTACAGTAAATGAACATACTTTCCAGAAGGCCAACAATTCACTAAAAATGTTATGAAGTATTCTAATTTGTTGAGATAGTGAATTGGTGGGTTTTTGTTAAATGTGAGCCAAAATCATCACAATTAAAAGAACCAAAGACTTAAACTACTTCAGTCTGTGTGCATTGAATTTATTTAATACACGAGTTTCACAATTTGAGTTGAGTTACTGAAATAAATGAACTTTTCCACGACATTCTAATTTGAGATGCACCTGTACATACTAAGGTCTAGTATTGTGAAGGAGAAAAAAAAGCATTTTTACATAAATTCTATATAACAAAGACTGCTTAAATGTGTAAACATATTTGAAATAAAAATGTAATAAATTTTTTTTTTTTACTTGACAGTGGAACAACATGGCTGTTTAGTCAATATGGAGGTTACTTATGGAGGTCTAAGCCCAGGTTTTAAAATATCGAGTGAAAGAATACAATTATATTAGTGGTGACTTTGAGTCCTCCATGAGCTTCAGCTCTTCAATATAATCAATAAGATCTGAAGGAGAACACAAATATGGACTGTAACCGATACAGTCAAAAGTTTCACTACGTTACAAACTCAACTCTACTACGATAATGAACTTGAGTAAATGATAAAAGATCTTGTCACTCAAGCAAATGTAACAGAACAAGGTAGATTCTCCAGTCAAGCTACCATGCACGTTATTTCTTATTCCAGCAGAGGGCGCTGTCTGCAGCCTTTAAATGCTGTCTGATCCGAATTCAGTTTCTCAGATCAGAGAAAATTCACTCTATACAATGAGTTCGGGAATTGACGTTTCCTTTAATGGGTCATTTCTATTGTAGGCTATTTTTGTACTTTTCTGTAAACGAATTTAATAACTCGTGTTGTAATTTAAGATATTTCTATGAAAGGATATAAAACACTTCCATAAATTTACTCTGGTTGTTCAAACATTTAAACGTATAAGCCGATTATTTAAACACAGACACACACACACTCACTCACACACACACACACACACACACTGTCACACACACTCTCACACAAACACACTCACTCTCACACACACACACACACACACACACTCTCACACACACACACTCACTCACACACACACACACTCTCACTCACACACACACACTCAC